CTCTCAGGTTTTATGTGTCAAACACATAATATACAACCTCTTCTGGTAACATGCAAGTAAGGCTTAGATCTAATTTTGGGCCTGCTAAGCATAACCCGCGCTTTTGTATATCTTTTTCGAGCGGATTTTTACACAAAATGAAATGTTTCACTTACAGTTGTCTTCCAAATTTATTTACCTTTCCATAAATACATACATAGATTTGATAAAGGGTCACAAATTGTAAAAAATCTGACTCCTAACTCGGTTTATGAATTCTTATTTCGTCCTAACGCATTGAAGCACAATTTTATTAACGTAGGGGAAAAGTTCAATCAATCGGTCACTACTACCGACACTGTGAATCTCTTGGCGGAGGGAACAGAGACCAATCATAGTTCAGTCGATTTTGGTCACTGCAATAGACACCGGGACTCACCTGCCACGAGAAACAAGAATCCCTGTCCATTCATTCAACCGATCACTACAATAGACACTACGAATCACCTTCTTGTCCAGTCAACCGGTCACTACAAATTAGAATCAAAACTTTTACCTTCGGTTTAACCGCACGCTGCTTTGCAACGCACGCCCTTTTTTTTGCATGCCTACTTCGATTTAACACCAAGAGTAAATTACGTATGAAGGAGCTGCTCTATGTATAAATGCAAGAAAACGATTATCTGTACACGGTTTACTATAGTTTGTTAATAAGCAGATCGGCATAGAATACTAAAGAAGACTAATGATTTGGTATGCATTGGGCAGCATTTTAAGTATACTTTCAAATGTAATTAGCCTGGTTTGCCCAATTTTGCCCAACTTCGAGCTGTTGGCCTCGGAAATAGTGGTGATTTTGGGTCAAAACATTAGATATCTTAAGAAATATTGAAGATAGGAACTTGCTTCCCAAGACAAAATGGCGTATTTAAAAACAAACATTTGTGTACAACATACTAATGTCAAAAAATTACTTCCAGAAAAGTTATTTGCAAAAAAATGATTTTCTGAAGGCTCTTACCAAAAATAAAATACATATCTCGGTAAATATAAGAGATAGCGGGTCGACGTATTGAGCAAAAATGTTTGATTTAATATTGTCTAAAACTTTGCTGAAGATACCAATTTGCTATCTCGACAAACAAAAAAAGTAAATTTTGTATCTCCCTGCTAGGTAGATTAATCATGATATGGTTAAGCCCATAAGAAGGGGCTTTTTAAGTGCACAAACTTCTCCGAAGACACTATATGGCTTAAATGAACCGTTTTTGCATAAACTAAAAACGCACGTTTTGACTTTTCTGCCAAAAATCAGGAGACAGTAAGCACAGAACAGAAGGGGAAGTGCAAACAAATCGGTGAATCAAAAAATTGTTCGTTTTTCTGCTCAACAAGCAATGTGTTGTGGTAGCGTTCCACATGAGCTTTCTATGTGCGCTCACACCATCATAGCATGCTGCCTATCTTAACTGCAGGCAGAAGATGCCTTCTACCGCTAGGTGCGCTAGTGTTCGCAAATGACAAGTGGAGCCACTTTCTGATCCGAAGTTCCACTCCTGTGCAGTAAGGCAACGCCTCTTCTGAGCAAAAGTGGAACCCGTGTATGATGGTGTGTGTTAATTCACGAGTGCATTCACAAATAGCTAGAAATAAATAGCTGTCAATTATTGGATTTGTTATGATTGTCGTAAAAAGTGAAACTTTTTTTTCTATGCTTTATGCTGACAACGATTAAAATTCCAGCTGAAACTGAACAGATGCGTACGTAAATTTGTTTTGAAAATTTAAACTATGGCAATGATGCCATTCACAATGATGGTGGGACCTTCCTCGATCATTTATTTGCTATCTCAGAATTATCTTCCACTGTTCCTAAGCCCTTTAGTGATGCATTTTTGAGCATTCGTATTACAATGTATGACCGTTCCGCACGGCTTTGGCACCTGCCACAGTGGGGGAGGGTTTAAGTTGTGACGCTCGGCAACATGGCACAGTACTCGCTGACTATTTGAATGTCACTGGCCAATCCGACACTGTTGTTATCATTCTCTGGGTCGGTCGATTCCAAGAATTGTTAAAGCATACAGAGGATCACTATCCGGTGGTTTCATGTTCTGACAACATCTAAAATGGAAATATTTGCTTTATCAATACGTACCGTTTGGGATTGCAGTCCTTCAACCTTTCATTTTCATTTTTTCCAACATTAGATCCTGCTACGCCTTCCGTTGGATCGTGATGTAGGTACCGGATCTTTCTTCTTTTTGAATCCTTGAATTTTCAGCAGCTTCCGAATGACGGTAGTTCACTCAATGGTGATGGAAGATGCCAATTCCTTATAATTGATTGCTTCCAACAGGCAAAATAAACAATATTTCGGTTGCTCGTTCACAAGTAAAAGTTACTTTCACTAGGTATCGATCCGAGTTTCAATCCTCTACTTGATCCACCATGACAAGTTTTTCGGTTTGGAGTTGGAAAACCACCGGCTTGCTGGGATTAGGATACAAATTGCTGTGAAATTTTGTAGAGCAAAACAAAAACAACAACAAGTACCGGTGACATTAGGTCATACACACAGTCACTGTTTATGAGCAGTCTCACTAACACTTGTGCTTCAAAGCTTCAACTTTGATTGACAGAGACGCTGTTATCAGTGACGTTTGACATTGGTATGGGAGAAGGGAACAGTTCAAGACCAACAATTGAAATGGCCCTAACTCCATTTTGTAAACAAACCTTGTAAGGCCATTTTCTCGCGAACCGAAACCTTCATTCGCAAACCTAAACCACAATCGGGTAGAGGAGAATTTCCCCTACCTGTTCATTGTGTTGGTTTGCCTTTGCGGACTTCGGTTCGCGAGAAAATGGCCTTACAAGGTTTGTTTACAAAATGGGGTTAAGGCCATTTCAATTGTTGGTCTTGAGTTGCCAGTCTTCTTGATTTTTAGTCTTCGATTTTAGCCTAAATATTACTTTTCTCTAGTGCAAATATTCGAGAAATGTTAGACTAACTCAAAATGTCACAAGTGTTATATGATTTCTGAATCATAAAATAAGGTCTATCAGTAGTTTCTAGTTTTATAGTTTTCAATAAACATTACAGTTTTTCTTAACAAAATATTACTGTAGTCCATTCGGGCAATATGAGCACTACTGATGTTTCGAACATTTTCTATACTTAAATTCTTCAATTTTGCATTATTCCTTTGTTTGAATATGACAGCTGCTTTGGTAAAAAATCAATCATTCACAAGACTGAACAAATATCCGGAGAACTTCGAGATTAGGGCATAATTGATTTTGTAAACAAACATTCCAATCGCTGATTTATCGCGAATTAAAGCTCAATCTTAAAAACTAATAACACAGACAGGTAGATGAATGATTCTAATTTGATTTGGTATAGTTTGTTTGCAAGATTGGGCTTTCATTCGTGAGAAATCGGTGATGACGCGTTTGTTTACAAAAGCAATTACGTCCTAAATCTCAAAAGTTTTCCGGATATAGCCTTAAATAGGCAATACCTACTTCTTAAATTTAATTTATTCTACAGTAAATAATTGTTTCTTTTAAATATTTTTAAGCTAAAACTGTTCATTGTTGACTCTTCATAAAGCCTCAAAAGAACAGAATGTTCTTACCGGTTGTTTAGAAAGGAGCTCATACAACCCGGAATAGGTCATTTCGAACATTTTGTAAATCTTCTTCCATAAGATTCAAAAGTTTACTAATTATTATTTAGTATATAGGGCTTGAAACTATCAATTTGGTTAAAAATTAGTCGAATTTTCCACTGAATTTGGTATTATTAGTGATGATTTCCTTAAGGTGGCCAAACTGCCCCACTTTCCCCTACGGATAAAGTTAAAAATGGAATGGAAAAATGGATTTGATCGTAGCGCTTCTGTAAACATTCATTATTTGCGTAACAAACATAATTGAATCGTTTACGCTGAAATTATAGATGTACTTGATGTTTTCTGCTCGATAGGCCCAAATTGGACGAAGTAGTTCTCTATTCTACAACATTAATCATTACAACATTTAATAATTTTATAATTCCGAAAAACATTTTATTTATAGCGAAGTGAGTGGAAGCAACCCTGGTGTCCATTATACCAAATGTCAATTATGCCAAACATACCGTACGTAGAAATTCATGTATTGGTTAGCAGAAAGCTCTCAATTGCAAAATATGGAAGTGCTTCAAAGAAATACATGTTTTCAAGTTCTTAAAATAATTTGGTTGCTTTCATTCACTCGCTATATAAAAATGTTTTCCGAAATTGTGTAATAATTAAATGTTGTTATAATGAGCTTGTAAATTACAAGCATACGTTCAAAAACTTTGAAAACGTTAGTTAGGGTCATGTTTACATTCAAATCAGTTTCAACAGGCACAGGGTCTTCTAATTTCACTGATTTATATCCATTGGAAGCAATATTTTTTTTCATTTGTTTACGTTTTGAGAGTTGTTGAACAGGTAGATAGAGGTTAGGGCGACGCCACTGTTTGACACACAAAACCATTAAATTTTGCTCTCAAAAAATCATAATTAGCAGTTTTATTATTTTCACTTACTCACTCGACCATAAAATCGCTGGCCACCCACATTACATCCGGATCAGACGCAAACGGATCCAATGTGGTTGGCCCTTAATTATAGCTAAAAGATTATTTGCAACCTTAATCTTAAATAACAATTTCTGTCTCTTTTAACTTTATTAGCGATATTTTTAGCTCATTGGCTAGTTCGACTCGTAATTAGTGTTTCAGTTTTTAATTTAATATTAAGTGTTTTTATTTTAAATTAAGTTACAGGATTTAAGAATTAGTATTAAGTATGTACCCACCTAGAACGTAAACTATCCAATCCACTTCCAATCGAATTAAAAAAAAACCCCGAAATCGTCTCAGTGCCCAAGATTGGACCCCCTCAATCGCAATGTCATAAACAGGACACCCCAACGTTTAAAATGTAATCTTGCTATTCATTTCTCTCTCTCCAAACCCTCAGGTCGATGGCAAGTTGCTGTGCTGGCTCTGTACGTTGTCCTACAAGCGTGCGCTGACCAAGGCACGCCAGGCGGAAAGCGATCGCCGTCGAGCGAAGAAGCGTGGAGCCGAAGGTGGTCCCCCGCCGTCGATGTCGTCAGCATCGAATACCGGTTCGGGCAGTGGCGGAGGAGCCAATAGCGGCAGCAACACTACCACCGGACCGCTCGGATCCAGTGCAAACTCCGGTAGCCGTGGTGACCGCAGCACAGGCGACAAGAGCAGCAGCAGCAGCAGCTCGATGAACCGCGGTGCATCCAGCTTGCCTCCGTTGGGTGACATTAGCACGAATTCGGGACCGGTCGAGGTTCCGGAGAACGTTTCATCGGTAGGATCTTCCGCCGCTGGAGGGATGGACCGCGTAGACAACGCCCGGAACGACAACGGTCGCCATTCGTCCAGCAAGAAACCGCGTACGGACATGAAACCGATCCAGGAGATTCCGGAAAAGTTGGCCAAAAGTGCCCATCACCACCACCACCACACGAAGTACGTCGATCCACACAGCTCGGATCATGTCATTGCTATGACCCAGCTGAAGGAGACGATAGCCACGCTGCAGAGGAAGGTGAAGCAGAAGGATAGTATTATTCTGGAGAAGGAGAAGGAGGTAATGTTGCTAGATTCATGTGTTCAAAATAGGCAAATACTAATAATTCTTAATCCAATAGATTAGCGCATGGAAGGGTAAACATTTGTATCTGGAGCAGGATTTGATGAGAAAATACAAAGATATGGAGAAGAACTATGAGTTTAAGCTGGAGGTGTTGAACAAAAAGCTTAAATCGCAGCTGACGGAGATTGCTCAGCTATCGAAGGCGGCAAAGGATGCCGTAGAGAAGAAGAAAAAACCGATTGGCTTTTTGGCGACCACGAAGCTGCACAAGCTCAAACCGGAAACGAAGGAAAAGGAACGCGAGAAATCCGGAGGAAGAAATCGTATCATCGAAGAAGAGGATGAGGACGAGGAGAAGGAGGACAAAGAAAACGAGAGCGATAGAGGAGAATCTGGCACAAATACTCCGAAGGACGCTGGAAAGGAAAGCCCCCGGGATATCGATTCTGGCAAGGAAAGCCCACGTGACTCGGATAAGGAGGATGATAAGGACGATGACGGCGATAAAAAGAACAAGAAGGAAATTGACTCCGATAAGGAGAAAGACGACGAGCAGAGTAAGAGCAACGGGTCTGCTAAGGAAGGTAACGATTCAGATAAGGAGAATGATGAGAAGAAAGAGGATGAGAAGGAAACAGAGAAAGATGAGGACAAGGAAAGCGACGAGAAGGATCGCAGCTCTGAGCGTGGTTCCGAGAAAGGATCGCGTCGAAATTCCGAGCATGGCTCGGATAAAGGATCTGACAATGAGTCGGATAAGGAATCCGATCATGGCTCTGACAAGAAATCAGACAGTGGCTCCGAAAAGGGCTCAGCCAAAGGGTCTGATCGCGGCTCGGATAAAGGATCCGATCGTGGTTCCGACAAGGGCTCAGATCGCGGGTCCGACCGTGGCTCAGATCGAGGTTCAGACAAGGGATCCGATCGTGGTTCAGACAAAGGCTCGGACCACGGCTCCGACAAGGAAAGTGACAACGAATCCGATGATCGATCAGCCAAGGGTAGCGACAAGGATAGCGGCTCTGACAGTGGATCCGATCGAGACAGTGACCGTGACTCAGATTAAATCTGGAGCTGCATCTCAGCGTTTGGAATCGGTTATTTTATCAATAACAAACGAACAAAAACAAGAAGGAACTAATGTTATCCTTAACTTTTACTCTAAGATATACCTTAATGTAGGCGCATATGCTCTATCTTCCGTTCGTTGTTCTTTTCTCGCTACACTACATTTTTGTCCAAGCAAAGGCGTCGTCTTTTGTTATTTGTTGTAATACAGGATTACAAATATCGTTGAACTACCTATATTCCGTACAGTTTTAACCAGCAGCGGAGCAGTTAGCAAACAACGGGTACCAACACATAGAACTAATATAATCAAAAGTACCCATAATATATGGGATTGATCAAGCTCAAATCAATTCATCAACCCCCTTGGCGAATCCTAGAAATATTCAAATAGATACGAACTTCTAGATGTAGTGCATGTGTTTCCAGTACTTCTTTTGTTTCCTTTTTACATCCTCGTTTTGACCTTGTATCTTGATAAAATGGAAAAGGAAAACACTCAAGAAAAACTAAAAAAAAAATCCTTAACTGTAAGATCTTTCTCCCCAATCAGCTGTAATTTATAATTTAGTTTTTTTTAATTGGCATACTTAGAAACTACACCGTGTAATGAGAAAAATAAATACTTAACAGAGAAATCAAATAAAGCTCTACAAGAGAAATAGTCTAGCGTTGGATTCGAAAGAACGGTTCCTTTTGATGAATTTTAAACTTTAAACAAGCATCTACTTTACTTACCTTACCAATCAGTTTAAGGCCTTGTTGTCCTCTGCTGTCCGAAGAAGTCGTCTCCACTCTACTCGATACATGGCCACACTTCGCCAGCCTCGTAGTCTACAAAGGGTTCGCATTCTACTTGGACGATCCACCTTGCCCGCTGCGCGCCTCTTATTCTTGTTCCTGTTGGGTCGCTTTCTAGAACCATTTTCACTGGGTCGTCGTGCGGCATTCTTACGACGTGCCCAGCCCACCGTAGTCGCCCAATATTTGCAATGTGGACGATGGATGGTTCTCCCAGCAGAGCTGGTGCAATTCGTGGTTCATTCGCCTCCTCAACGTTCCGTCATCCACCGTAGATGGTACGCAACACCTTCCGTTCCGTCCGTTGGTCCTCCACGAGTATAGTCCAGGTCTCGTGGCGTTTTGTAGACAGACTTCGTGCGACGGCGAATTTTATTCGACCGGAGCGTCCTCCGGAGTCCAAAGTAGGCACGATTCCCTGCCATAATGCGTCTTTGAATTTCTCTGCTGGTATCATTTTCGGCGGTCACCAGTAAGCCCAAATACACGAACTCATCGACCACCTCGATTTCGTCACCGTCAATCTGAACTCGGGGTGGGAGGCTAACATTCTCTTCCCTACCTCTTCCTTTCATGTATTTTGTTTTTGATGCGTTGATGCAGACCCCCTTCACTCTTTGGAATTTATAGAGACAGATAACAGCGCCAGCCGGCGCCGGTGGTGTAGTGGTAAGCGTGACTGTTTTCTAACACCCCGATGAGTCTGGGTTCAATCCCAGCCGAGGTCGGTGGGATTTTTCTGAGGCATAAAAATCTCTGGTCACGTCTTCCTTCGGAAGTGAAGTAAAGCCGTTGGTCCCGGCCCATGTGTGTTGAATGGGTGCGATATCCTACGCAGGTGTGGAAGCTGCCTTCCTGCACATTCGATTGCCGTCAATGGATGGCAATCGATGTCCGTCGGTGATTGGCACTAGATTGCGGAACAGAGACCGACGTTTAATAAAGGAATGAACTGAACTGAACATGAGTATGAATAGAGACTGGATGAAACCAGAGGATAACTATGACACTCCCTTCAACGTATGTGAAACGTTACGTTCAGATTGGGTCGGTGATTCTAGCGTTCGTCAAGGCTCAATCATATGTGTCACAGATGGCTCAAACATTGGAACACAAACAGGTGCAGGAATCTTTGGCCCTGGGCACATACCCTGGGACAAATATTTCATTGGCGATGGGACATTGTCCAACAGTGTATCAAGTGGAAATCATGGCCATACTTGAATGTGTAAGTGTTTGCCTAAGGAGAAAATATAGATGTGCAAATATCTGTTTTTTTTCTGACAGTCAAGTAGCACTAAAAGCGCTGCGTACTTACAAATGTACATTGAAGGGAGTGAAAGGGCAGACGATCTCGGTAAGTTTTTCACTGAGATCCAAGTGTGTAGGTGGATCTTTCTTGTAGGTATGATCGTAACCACCTTATTAGCCAGTTAGGAAATCTCAGCCTTTCGAGTTTTCTCAGAGTTAATTCATGAGGCCCTTTATCAAACGCTTTGGAAAGTTCACGTCAACTTGGCAGCGCTTTTCCAAACTGGAGTTTAGCGTGCTAGCGTATGCCATCAGATTCCTAGCGATAGAACAATTCTTCAAAAAGCCATGCTAATATTGAGAAATTATGGGCAGCAGAGTACATTCTACAGTCAATCAAAAGCTCGAGCTCCTTTGCTAAACAGCAAAGAATAGAAATAGGTCTATGAGTGTTTCCGGCCTTGTGTATGGGTGTAGAAAGTTCAGTAGAAATTACCGAAGTCGGTAATCATTTCTAAGCGTGGGTAAAACGCTGTCCAGACTGGAGAGTTATAACATGTTATAACGGTTGTCAAATAATTGCAATACAGAAACCACCATCAGGCTAGTCAAGTAGTGAGCCAATTTAAAATCTTTAGTTTCGTATTGATTGTTGTTATAACTCTGTAGTCTGAACGTAATATAATTTGGCATAATGGTCAATTGGCGTAATGCAACTCCCCCCTAAACTCAGCAACACAAAGGCTTTCGGTGAAATGACGTTCGGTGAAATAGCATTCGGCCAAATTATCCATAGTAAATTTTTTTACCCCTCCCTAGCTCGAAACCTGGTTACGCCCTTGCGTAATGCATAACATTTTCCTTTTTCTAAACATGAGCACTTCTTTCGAGTTTTACTATTCTTGAATTTGTGAGTCAATATGTTAATAATTCTTTTAAATGTCGTTTGCGTAACCGTAATTTACAAGGTACCTATTAAGGTGCAGTCGTTATTGTTTTTTTTGCTCTCGATTTGTTTTTCGTGCTGAGCACCAATGCTACCGACGCCAGGGAGGCAGCTCCCACACCTGAACCCTACCTATCGACCCATCAATCAACTCATGAACCGGGGACCAACGGCTTTACGTCCGAAGGAAGGCGTGATCAGAGCTTGTCGTTATTGTTTTAAATAAAAGCAACTTCTTTATTCAAGACCGAAGTTATACCTATTCATGCAAATTTGTTCAGAATATACCACTTACCAAACCTGCCAACAGTGAATACTAAATACATTCTCATGAACAAAATTTCAATTTTGTGCGAAAAAACCTGCTGATTCAAAAAAAAATTGCATCTTTATTAGTATATACGCTAGAGCGTTAATCATTAAGACTATGTTGTCAAATGAAGTTAATAAGTAAATGTATTAATTAATAAACAAAGTCATTCCCTCTCCACTAACAGCTATGGAAAGAAATAAAAACTCCTTCGAATTCTGTGAACCGTTTATCCTCCCTATTTATTTTTCTCTATCAAAACACACAACAGCCCCCCTTCACCACGCTCGCGCCGCACCCTGGGTAGCATCGGTGAGGATCCAAGTGTTGCGTTCCTGCTTTTTCATGGACATCTGTTTGTGTCGACGATGGGTTTTGCAGATCACGAACAACCGCTGATGCCGGACGACGAAGTAACAATCCTTGCATCGGCGCTTCAGGCGACCTTTTACTTTGAAGCCACTGGCAAGATTGAGCAGTGGACTCACCGCTGGAGACAGCAACTGATTAGCTGGTCGTTCGAGCAGTAATCGGTTGGCGGATTGGTTTTCCAGAGCAGAACCGGTGCAACGGCCGGCATTAGCAAGCACATGAAACAGGCAAGTTGTGGTACGGGAAGCACTCGCCTTTAAAGATCCCAACAGCGATGTGTTCACCAATGTTCCGCATCGAGCGAGGAGTGGCCACATCTAAAACAGAAGGGATTTACAGGATAACATCTACCGGAAGATTGAAATTATGCTGAATACCTTTATATTTAAGGAAAAACCTTATGAAAACAGTGGAAACTACATAAGTTATGTTATGTCACTTGGTCAATAAATTTTGCATGCTGCAAATGTCATTTGATGGAAACAAAACGAATGAGCTAAAGAGCCTGAATTTATAAAGAGACGACATCTTATCCATTTGACAGGTCTTCTGCTCGATTGGAATGACTTTTCCTATGACTTTGACAGACAATCGATTGTTCCAATTTTGACATGTCGCCTCTTTATAAATTTAGGCTCTTTAGAATGAGCCAGGTTGTTTTTGTTTCCTTCGCCTTGGTGTTGGTGCCTGCCGAAAAGAGAAGTACATTTGGTATACCAAAATGAACTACACGCTTGTAAAAAATCCCATAATTTCGTCAAAACTGAACCCACTCAAAAATTGGGACGGACAAATTTACAACATTGACCTGAATCTGATCGATGTTGTTCTTTTGTCAACTTGACACTCCCATCTTAGTTAACCCATTTTTGGGTAGGTTCAGCGACCAATCTGGTTCCTACTAAAATTTGCACACTTGAAATCAAAATCTGTCCTGGGTGAAACATATTGCCGTAACAGTTCAGTAAACTTGAAAATTGCCGGTTTACACGGATTCGAATTTTGTTCATTTAAAACAAAAATATAAATGTTTATACTATACACATATGAATTATTCAAAGTAAATTGAAAGCATGTTCAAAACTAAAATATTTATGTTTGAATTAAATGCAAAGGCATTTTTATTTCAACAATATACTATTTGGGTAACGGTTTTTAGCGTGTCATGCCTTTTTATTTCCTTCTTGTTACATTCGGAAAAAGTTGCCCCAGCTTTGCTCAACCTCAACAGAAAACGGCCATCCATTCCGAATCCATTCCGGATCCTCCTCCGATACCGAATATGGAAAGAAACCGGTATGAGGACCAGTGGCAGAAACCGAGGCAGAAACGGCAAAACGACGCTAATAACACAAATTTGCACCGGTTCCACTGAACTGGAACCCCCGGACATCCACCCCGACGGGTCCTCGCATCCCGGACCAGGACCCCAATACCCACAGGTCACCCTTAATCGCACCCGAAAAAGAGCAGGAATTAAGATGCCCTGCCCATTTCTTTGCAAACCGTTTTATTTTGCTTTACCCTGCACTCAACTACTAAAATAACTCCAAAATATGTATGTTTATTTTAAACATGAGAAGCATGTTTAAAATAAACCTATTTATTATTGTTCGCATCGCTGTAAAACCAAACAAAAATAAATACGTTTATTTTCAACACGAATATTTTTGAAATAAACGTAACATTATTTTTATTTTAAACATTGATTTCACATGACTTCAAACATGGAATACGTTTGAAATCAACCTAATTTATGTTTGTGGCCAGAACAAACTGAGTTTACGTTTAAATTTACCTCAAATATTTTTGTTACGACGATAGTTTTTTCTGCGTGTAGTTAATCATAAATAGTTCACTGAAATTTGTATCTGGTTTTAGCCAAATTTCGGTAAAAACAATCATTTACCAAGCTTCGTCAAATGTAACCACTGATCTAATAAGATAAATCTCAAACCATAGAGC